AATACAAATATAAAATGTATAACTTTTTTATGGCTATATAAAATGTACGTATGTTTCTACTAGATATACTAAATAGTATTTCAATAAATGGGGCCATCTAGGAAAGATTTATTACAAACTAAATTGGAATGGGATGATTTGAAATCGGTGGACTAAAAATAATTTTTTTTTACACAAATATAAAATGTATAATTTTCTATGGTTATATAAAGTGCTTGTATGATTTGTTTCAATTACTAAATATTCTTAGTAATAATTCAATAAACGGGATCACTTGGGAAGGGTTTCTTACAAAACGAACTAGAACGGGATGATTTAGAAAAATCTAATTAAAAAAATAATTTTTAACATAAATATGAAATGCATGGTTATTTATGACTATATAAAAAACATGTATTATTTGTTCTACTTACTAGACATGCTCAATAATACTTTAATAAACGGTGTCACATAAGAAAGGTTTATTACAGGACCAATCAGAACGGGTTCATTTGAAAAAATATAATTAAAAATAAATAATTTATAGCACGAATATAAAATACAAATATGATTTGTTTCAATTATTAAATATACTTAATAGTAATCCAATAGGCGGGATCACATGGAATTGGTATATTAAAAGATAAATTGGAACTGATCATTTGAAAAAGTCCAACTAAAAAAATAATAATTTTTAACATAAATATAAAATTTATAATTTTTATGGCTATATAAAATGTTTGTAAGAAGTTTTCTGAATTATTAAATATGCTAAATAGTATTTCAATAAAGGAAGTCACTTGCAAAGAACTTATTACCAGGCAAAAAATCACACATACCACAATCTTACATCATTTACGAACATTTGACATGTAGCCCCAAGGGGTTCAGCCAAAGATGGGTTCGGTTATTCGTAAAATTTTTAAACAAGGAAAGTAGTGATTAAATAGAAAAATATAAAAATATTATATTGTAGATTAGGAAATGTTGTAGGATTATGGTGTAGGAAATCGTTAACCTTATTATAAGATGAATGGCAACAGGATCATTTGAAAAGGCCAACTAAACATAAATAATTTTTAATGCAAATAATATTAATTTTATGACTATATAAAATGTATGTATGATTTGTTTAATTACTAAATATGCTTAATGGTAATTCAATAAACGGGGACACTTGAGAAGGATATATAACAAGATGGATTGCAATGGGATCATCTAGAAAGGTTCAACTAAAAATAAATAATTTTTTAACACAAAAATAAAATATATGATTTTTATGGTTATATAAAATCAAATTTCATGTGTTTAAATTACTATATATGTCTAATAGTATTTCAATAAATAGGGTCACTTGTGAAGGGTTTATCACAAGGTAAAAGATCTCTTACACCATAATCCTACACCACTTCCTATAACATTCACTAAAATTTTGACACGTGACCCCGAGGGTTTATCCAAGGGTAGGTTAAGGTGTTAGTAATATTTTTAAAGAAGAAAAGTAGCTATTAAATAGAAATATTATACGATGAGTTAGAAGTTTTGTGGAATTGTAGTGTAGAAGATTTTTAGCCCACTTGAGAAGGGTTTATTACACATCAAAAGATCTCGTATACCACTTTTTACACTATTTACCAAGAATTTTGACACGTGGGTTAGTGTGTTAGAAAAATTTTAAAGAAAGAAAGTAGTAACTAAATAAAAAAATATATATAAAAGTGACATATGGTAGGTTAAGAAGTATTGTTGGATTGTGGTGTAGGAAATCCTTAACCTTATTAAAAGATGAATTGGAACAGAATTTTTTAGGATGGTCCAACTAAAAATGTATATAATGTTTACACAAATATTAAATGTACATTATATAAAATGCATGTGTGATTTATTTCAATAACTAGATATGCTCATTAGTACTTCAATAAATGGAGTTACTGGAGAAAATTTATTACAAGATGAATTGGAACAAAATTATTTGGAAAAATTTAACTAAAACTAAATAATTTTTAACAAAAATATAAAATGTATGATTTTTATGGCTATATAAAATGTATGTATGATACGTTTCAATTACTAGATATGCTTTATAGTAATTCAATAAATAGGGTCTTGAAAGGGTTTATTAAAAGGCAAAAGATAATTCTACACCACTTCCTGCAGCATTCACTAAGATTTTGACACGTGAGCCCAATGGGTTCATCCAAGCGTGAGTTACGGTATTAGTAAAACTTTTAAAGAAAGAAAATAGTATAGAAAAATGTAAAAATATTATATGATGAATTAGGAAGTGTTGTGGAATTATGGTATATGACACCTTTAGCCCATTTGGGAAGTATTTATTACAAGGCAAAATATTTTCTACGCAATAACCTTAAACCACTTTCTATATTATTTACCTAGATTTTGACACATGGCTCCAATTGGTTCATCTATAGGTGAGTTAGGGTGTTGGTAAAATTTTTAAAGAAGGAAATTAATAATTAAATAAAAGAATATTAATCTAGGAAGTATTGTAGGATTGTGGTGTGGGAGATTCTTAATCTTATTACAAGATGAATTAGACCGGGATTATTTGGAAAACTCTAACTAAAATTAAATAATTTTTAATAAATATAAAATATATCATTTTTATGACTATATAAAATGTATGTATGATTTGTTTCAATTACTAGAAATATTTAATAGTACTTAATAATCGGGGTCACTGAGAAAAGGTTTATTACAAGATGAATTAAAATAGGATCATTTAGAAAGGTCTAAATACACATAAATAATTTTTAACATCAAAATAAAACATATAATTGTATGGTTATATAACATGCATGTATGATTTGTTTCAATTACTAGATATGCTCAATAGTACTTTAATAAACGGGATCATTTGGGAGTGTTTATTACAAGATGAACTAAAAGGGGATCATTTGGAAAGGTCCAGCCAAAAGTAAATAATTTTTAACACAAATATAAAATATATGATTTTTTTGGTGATTTTTTATTTTAGAAAATGCGTGCATGATTTGTTTTAATTACTAGATATGCCCAATAATATTTCAATAAATGAGACCACTTGGGAAGGGTTTATTACAAGATGAATAAAAAGGAATCATTTGGAAAGGTATAATCAAAAATAAAATTTTTTAACACAAATATTAAATTAATGATTTTTAGTGGCTATCTAAGATGCATGTATGATTTGATTCAGTTAGTAGATATGCTCAATAGAAATTCAATAAATGAAATCAATTAGGAATGGTTTATTACAAGATTATGAACAAGAACGGGATCATGTGGTAAGTTCCAACTAAAAATAAAATAATTTTTAACACAATATAAGTGTTCATAAATTTTTCGACTGAAAATTTTCAAGTTTCGATAAGCAAATCACAAATTTTTTGTTGGTATTCATGATTTTATTCCTTTTTTTATTTTTTTTCTCAAATCTTACACACACAAACATATATGTATATTAAATAAAAATGATTTTGAAGACATTTACTTAATTACCCCAATATAGATTCAAAGTATTTTGTGATCACATTTTTATAGGAAAATTTTTTTGCATTATACCATTGATTAAATTAAAGTTTGTGTTTATGCATATTTTAAATAGAACTGATATAATTAAATTTTAATGCAAATTAATATAAATAAAAATCATACACAATAATATCTACATCTCACGTCCAGCAAATGGTTAGTTCTATGTTATTTTTTTCAGGGTGAAATCTAAAAAATGTCTTAAAATGCTCATCTGCAACAGAGAAGGTCAATTTCTTAATTGCACCATGAACGTTGTCTACAAAGAACCGTTTAAAAATATATGAAACAAGCTACTTTCACTTTATTTCTGTCAAATTCTTTGCCCTATTTCATGTTTTCTTCTTAAAAGTTACATATATGGTTTTCTGTGGCTTTTATTTAATTTTTTTCAATTTATTATCCGAAATATACACATATTCAATAACAACAATTCACTGTTTGTGTTAATATATTTTGAATGCATGTTCAAATAACCAAATCTAATATATCAGCTGTGCAATACACGTGCATACTACTAGTTACTAAGTGAAAAGGAGAATTTTTTTTTTTCTTTTCTTCAAACCTCCTGTTTAATAGGAGTAATCTGGAGTCTGGACATATCAAAAAGGAGTTTTTAGATTTTTATTTTTTTTCATGTTTCGAATAATTATCCCTGATTTCTATGGCAAACAGCAAAGCCTTTGGTTTGCATCATCCTTAAACTTGGAATTCATGGGAATCCATCATTTCTAGGCTATATTTTTTTAAAAAAAATGGTTGATTTTAGTGGAATATTGGTAGAGTTATTTTAGTGCGAATTCTTACCAATCTCCATTTTTATGAATTGGAACAATGTAGGATTATTTGGTGTGCGTAAATAAATGTGTATATGTTATATATAAAATAAGCATTGCAGGGATTTTGCTTATAATAAATTTTGTTACCGGAGATCCTTTATAATAATATAAGTAGATTTTTGGTACGAGTTGGTATCATTCTTTTCATTATGGCATTCGGATTATGATCAACTTGCCCGCCGAGTATGCTTGCTGGATCGCAGGCCTGATCATGGGCTAAGAAATCGGCCCATTCTGATTAAAAACTAACAACCAATCACGTTAACTCATCAGCAATGCTTTTTGTCTGAAACTTGTAAAATTTGTAATTGACAGTAACTGATCTTCACAAAATTATTTGCAGGATTTGAATCTGTATCTTTGATTCATTGTGATGATCTCAAGTTTTGCACTCACGAATTTCTGATCAAAAGGAAAGCCTACAAATATCACCCCTTCCATCTTGCTCTTGTTCTCATAATTTCTCTTTATCTATTCTCTTGCCTCTCAACTCTACTACTTGCCAGCTAAGTGTTCAACATCAAATAATGGTGAAACTTGGTCTTAAAAGAAGAAATGAATATATAAATAAACAATGGTGAAACTATGGAATCACAAAAACTTCCCCATCTTATATAAAACTGACATAAATGATTTTAACCGGGAAATAGCAGCGTAAAGATCCCTTTAAGCACGATAAGACGGTCTAGAAATCATTGTAAAAACATAATAAGTTTTGACTCTTATTGCAGAAAATGATGGCTTAGCACTTTGTACAGGCATCTGCTTATAGTTAATGCTGTATTATTAAAATATTTTAGGAATATTCATAAGAGATAAAGCAAACTAAGGGAGGCAACAATGCTGATATGTGGTTTGCAACTGTCACCAACAAGCATCTTGGAGCAAAGTTAATGAAGCTCATATAAGTTGCAGAGTTGTCCCCAAGGCCAAGGATCTTATGATCAAACCAACAGCCAATATCAGCTGATACCTTCAGCATCCAGATATATAGATAAAAGCCTCAAAAAGTTGGCTGAAGGCAACCTTTTTATAACAATGATCAAACAATACATGAATCGATAGAATGTTTCTTCGAATTACAATCATAATGCTTATAAAATATCAGGGGTAATCAATAATATTTTCTCATTTCTTTTCCTGATATCACAATCATGAGATGTCAAATGAGAAATCATCACCCAAAACTCAAGAGGGCTTTCAACCATGAGTGTTAACAGCTTCCCAAACTAAATTCTTCGGAATAGGCTTGGTAAAATCCCGAGCCTGCAATGCAGCATCTCTGAGTATCTTCACAGTCATCACATTGGCTTCCCAAAATGATGCAACGTTGTAAGGCAAATTATGCTTCTTGCAGAGCTCCTTCACAAATGGAGAGATCTTCCTAAGCTGGCATCTGGGCAACTTTGGAAACAAGTGATGCTCAGTCTGAAATTGCAATCCACCATGAAACCAATCCAACCATGAAGAGCAGGAAATGTCAAGGGTACCACTTGTTTGCTTCTCAAACCAATCATTTCCACTAGGAGGGCCAACATAAACACTGGTAGAGAAATGGTTCAAGCAAAATTGAACATGCTGAATTCCAGTAACCGCAAAACTAGCAACAACAAACATTATCCTTTCTCCCCAGCTAGGTAAACAGGACACTAGCAGGGGATACCAGGTCCAAAATACAAGTACACCCAACAGCTCTTGAACCCTGTAAGGCACATTTCTCTTAGACAACAACAATGCGAATGACTGAGCAAACAAATTAATCCTAGCAAAACACATCACAGGGTAAAAGGTCCAGTGCTGATGACTAATTAGGAACCGAGAAAAGGTATCAAAAGACATCTTCCTCCCATAAAAGTAAGATGTGAGTGAGTTGAAAAACTTAGGAGATACCGCAAAGAAAGGCATATGTTGAAGATCGGGGTCGAATTCAAGACTATTGCAAGCTATATGATGAGCATTGTGGTTCCACTTCCACCAAGCAATGCTGATTCCCGCAAGACAATTCCCAGTCAGAATCTGTGCCCATCTGTTAAGGCCTCGAGTGGTCATGACCTGATAATGTCCTGAATCATGCCCAAGCCACCCACTTTGAATCCACAGGAAACCCATCAATCCACCACAAATCAAATGAACCAAAACACTCTCACTCCTCAGAACACCATAAACGCTCACACTAAACAGCAATGCCATGAAGCACATAGTCAATAGAACCACATGTCCTTTCTTCTCAAACAAGCCCATTTTGTTGAATTCATAGACAAGCCTCCTGTAATCCTTGGAAACCTCAGAGACAGTGTAATCCTTGAGATAAAACCCATTGAAGAATTTATCAAGATGCTTCCAAGCAGCACCCGGATGAAATGCGACAAATGCATCAGTTACATCTTGGCCTGCAAGATTCAAGAGAGGAAACGGGCCACCCGGATGATCCTTGACCCAATCAGAAACATCATAAACCTTGCCCTGAATGGAGATCCAAAGATCCCCAACTTTATTGTGGGTCTTGAGTTCATCAGCCGTAATGTAGCTCTTGGGTTCAGCCATAGATCCAAAGAATGGCAGCCAAAAATGCGAACTTTATGCTAAAAGAACGGGATCTGAGAAAGACCCTCCTTCTGGTTTCTGGTTCCTCCTCAAACTCCCTTTACACAAAGGGAAAAAGGAGAAAATAAAGGGCACAAATTATTTTAGATCATGGAGAAAAGATTATGTATGAAATCGTCAGATGAGAGTTGGCAGTGTGAGCGGCTGAGTGTACTGGAGATATTTCGAGTAAAGAAGCGCCACAGAAAACCAAAAGGAAATAAACTATTAAGGAGTGAGAGAGCGCCTGTGAGCTGTACTTGAAAATGATCAACATTAGTCCATTTTTTTTAGTAATTTTTTTCCCTTGACCTTTTGTGAAACTTGTAACTTGTAAAACTACTCAAATTGAGTAAACTTTCGTAGTCCTGTCAACTGAATTATTCTGATTACGATGCAACGGCTACATTCATTCCCATGTCAATAGTTGCTCAGCGACTTTAATCATTAATTAATCATTCAGTGATCACTCGGTGCGAACTAATGTCATTCTCATATGGTTCTTGCCGCATTACTTATTTTGTTCAAACAGAAGGATTAGCGGAAAATGGAAATGCCACCAAACACTCGATCCAATAAAAAAAAAATCGACCACATTAATTATCGTCATCGTTCAATACTTTGATATGAGAACGTTAGGAAATTTTTGCTTTTTAAAAAAGACTTATTTGGCTCAAATCCTGATTAACCGTGAGATTACCGAAGTGATATTAAAAATAAATAATGAGAAGAAAATGATGATAAGTGAAAAATTGGAAGGTGTCATATAAAGCCCTATTGGCTATTGATATGTTAGGATTCTCCCAATAGGGGATAAAAAGATTTTGTTGGGTAAATTTGGTTGGTTGGCAGCTAGCTTTGTTGGCTGATGGTGGCCTGCATGATTTGGGGTTGGTTGGTAGGCTCTCTCCCATACAATGTCGACAAACTATAAGCATGTGGGCGTGGGACTTACATTTAGGTACACTACCTTCTTAACTTGTGAGTTAGGACCACACACGAGACCTCTCTTTTTTGTAATTATGTGTAACCTTTTAGGCTTTTAGCATTTAAGAGAGAAGAAACAAGATACTACTGCTAAAAGCCCACAATAATAACGATTAACTTTCTTTCAAATTCATTATATGGCACATTAATTTGGGATCGGCACTATTTGAAATAGATGACATGAATCATGCTACGTAGTTATTATGAGCAATTTTGAATTGCACTTTATAAAATTTATGTACGGGGAAGGCATACACATTTAGACATTTTTACATAAATTTTGTATTTTTATAAAATATGTAATGAATTCAGTTTTAAACATGATTACCTCTGAATTTACAGGAATTTGTTTTTTTACGTGACATTTTAAATTCACTGGTAATAAGGTTTATGCAGATCTCTCTAAAATTTGTTAGGATTTGGTACTCTCTTCAATCAATCTCTGTGTTAGGATTGGTTCATGAAAATAAGGGTTCGGTTTTTATTATTTTATTTTTTAAAAAAATTATTTTAGTTGATTTTTTTTTGGTTTTATTATTTTGTTTTGTGCATTTTTAAGTCTAAGAAATTAAGAAAATGCCACATAGGATTAAATCCTACGTGGCATGTGCTCCATGCCTTTAGTTTTCTCTCTCTGGTTTTTGCCTTAGTATAGTGTATAGATGAACAAAAAAAAACGGAAAATTAATTAAACAATCTACATTAATGTCTTTTCTTTTTTTCATTATGTCTCATCCAAGAAAGGTAAATATTTATTTTATTCATAATAAAAGTTGGTGGATTTGAAAACCTAATTCAATTAGCGGAAATGATACAATCACATATTAAATCAAACATTAACCAAAATTAATGACCTTTTGAAATTCAAAAATAATTAATGACAAAATCTTCGGTTAATCTTCTAGCTTTTCATTATCGGTGAAAATGATCCCCTACATTAATGTCTTCTTTTTTTTTCATTATGTGTCACCCAAAAAAAGTAAATATTTATTTTATTCATAATAAAAGCTGGTGGATTTGAAAAGCTAATCCGATTAGCGGGAATGGTGCAATCACATTTTAAATCAAACTTTAACCAATATTAATGATCTTTTGAAATTCAAAAATAATTAATGACAAAATTCTCGATCATTTTTCTAGCTTTTCATTATCGGTGAAAATGATCCCCTCCATTTAATATACCAGCAATTATTTATTAAACCCCAAAAATCAACAAACACCATAAATACGAATGATATAATACGATATGATCAAAATTGGGAAAACACTCTATGCAAATATTATATATATATTGACAGAAAATCCATAAACCACTTCCACTATATCAACAACTCCCATTCTTTTATTTCGTCGGTACAAACAACCTCAACCACCTCTATCAATGTACTCATCCAATAGCAACAACACATACGATTTCATAAAAGATTTGACACACACAGTTGTCAAGTCTCACTAGAAAGTCAATATTCGAATTCTTAACGTATGGATAACAACTTTTGGGGCCAACACATCTGTAGGGGTTTTGCTTATTGACGAACATGTTACAAACATATTTTAGTATTTATACAACTAAAAAGTGTATCTTAATAAAATTGCAGCATAATTTTATCGTCGTATTTTTAATGATTTCAATTGTTGTTGTTTTGGTTATATAAATATAATTGACATGGTCAAAAGATTCAAGGTTCTGTCCACAAAAAACTCATGTGGAAATTTCAAAAGTTTCTTGAGGATGGAGAGGAAGAGACCAAACAAATCACCAACTTTGATTTAGCCGACGTTAAATGATTCTCTTATCATAAAATTCCTTTTTCTTCTTTCTCATTCATCACTTATTATTTTATGGTTGTAATATTATTTTTTCCTTACTACAATTTATATCATATTTGCAGTTTTTACTATTTTACACAAGTACATAACAATAGTTATTTTGTCCTTTTTCATTATATTTATTTAATATTCATTTTCAATAATTCATACATAATTTTTACCAAATTTAACTTTTTTTTACATATTTTAATACTAAAAACATGTGCACAAATCCCGTGCATCGCACGGGTTTAACATCTAGTTCATTATATGGCACACTAATTTGGGATGCACTATTTGAAATAAATGACATGAATCATGCTACGTAGTTATTATGAGCAATTTTGAATTGCACTTTATTAAATGTTGTTGATAATCAAATTCATAAATCGTATTCATTTTATTCTATCGATGATCAACACACCCAATATATTTTCTCATTTCAACTCCTCAATCAATTAGTGTTTAGCATCGATAGTGCGTAATAGTTGCATTGAATTATTTCTTACTAAAGTAAATAAAATAGGAGTAGTCCAAACGTGTCAAACCTATCATTCATAAACTATTCAAGTGTTAAAGGGTTCAAACTATATATGGTATCAAACATAAATCTTGTAAAACGAATAATGATTGCATCAATCATTTTCGACCAAAGAAAATCTTTCAAGTTTTATTTCATTAAACAAAAAACTTAAGTATGAAGGATCCTTACCTTAATGAAATCACATCTCCGCATCAACATGACTTATGCTGATTATAGTCCAAGCGAATATTCTTCAATAAATTATGTTCCTCATCCCTGCTTTCTCATGAGTCGCCTTCATTAATCATTATTTTCTTCCATTCTCCCCCAATTTTTTTTTCATTTTTGTGTACTCCACAAACTTTACTACTATTCGACCTTTTTGTAAAATACTTTTACTTTTTATTTTACAGACTATTAAAATTAGGTAGAGAAAATACATCGTAATTGTATCATCATTATTTTAATCTATGATTTCTGAAGTTATTGCTCCGACTAATAAATATTTTGATCAATGTTGTATTTTCACACTCAGAATTTGAACCCGGATTGTAGTTAAACTGAACCAATACATTTATCACTTGTACTAAGTGTTTGTCAGTTATCTAATTTTTCTTTCAAAGCATGTAGAATAGTTTTGATGCCTTCGTGCAATTCCGGGAAAATTCTCGACGATGTGTGCTAGAATTTTATTTTATGAAGCCTGTCAAATGAAATTGTTTGAATGATTTAACCAAGTTTCAGCCCACATTATTTTTCCTCCCTGCCGATCTTTGGATGCTTGATTTTTTAAAAAAAATATATATTGGGGAGGCAAAAGTGCCTAAGTCACAACATCACAGCTTGAGTTTTACCAAAGAAAAACTAAAGTATTACTACCTTCATCTCAAAAACATAATCTATATTAAGTTTTCAAATCTGAAATAAAAATAGTACAAAATTCAAAATTTAATGTGGACTATTCTTGTGAGACGAAGGGAGTACATGCTTACTAAGTAGTACATTATTTTTATATATTGGATGCTTGATTTTGAACATAATAATTATAGCTGTGTGATTCCTTAGTAGGTCATGGCTGCATTCGGTAGTTTTGATTCCTTAACAAGGTCCACTTCACCGTTCACACTTCACAGTGATTGATATATGTTGATTGAATTTTCAAAAGAATCTTTTTGTTTGTTTTATTTTTTTTTATGGTTTTTCAGAATTATTAATTAATAATTGTCTTATCCCAACATACTTTTTTACATTTCTAATACACATTTTTACATTCACAATACAAAAAACACCTAAAAACACACACTGAGAAAACGAAACAAGCATATGTTCAACAAAAATAGTTCATATTTTAAATCGTACTAAAAATATATACTCTTTTCATCCCATAATTATTGTCCAGTTTTGGGTTTCATTTATAGTTCAAATTATACTAAAAGTGAAATCTCAAACTGAACAATCATTTTAGGACAGATGAAGTATAATTTATAATGTAGACTACTTTTATGGGACGAAAGAAATATTATATAACACGAATTGTCAATAAAAGACTAATGCATCAATCATTATTCTAAAGTCATTAAACTTGTTCACTATCTCTCTGTCGTTTCCTTAGGTGTATAATGAGGTTCAAATGTTTGTACATATTGTGCATGAGACATCAACCTCATCTTCTAATACTCTTCTCTTCGCCCTAAAGTAAGAGTGTATTTAGGTGCACTGACATGATTTTATTTTATTTTATTTTTTTTAGACAGAGAAATAATGATTAAATATTTAATCATAATGATTTCCAAGTATCTTTTTTTGAGTTTTTCCTTAATGTAACTACGAGACTAGGTGAGCCCATTTCTATTTTTTTTTTTTTGATTGAATCCTTTGTCCAAACAAGGAGTTTAGGACTAGGCCACTTTCAAAACCACCAAGTCCAACAAAAACGGGCCGCCCAACAAACGAGTATAGCCGAAACAAAAGAATATCCCTTGAGGAACCAATCTTGATGCCCTCTCTCATCAGCCATTATCATCAACCACCTTGAAGAAAAAAAACATCAGAAGAACATGATAGTGTCCGTACGCACCCGTGATTATATGTGGAGGCATTTCGCCATTTCCCAATCTGAAAATTAGTCTGCTGAAACTGGAGATACCCTTTTGCATTTGCTTCCTGATTTCCATCTTATTAAGGTAAATTTATCAGTTAAAGTAATGGTGGTTCACCCTTTCACTGTCTGAAGAAACTTACTCTTTGCTGTTTTACTTTGATCATATTTTCGTTTACAAGATCGGTTATTTCTTTTTTTATGAGTGTATTTGATCCCTATTTTGTTGGTTTATTGTGATTAAGCTGTTGTTTAAGAAATAAGAAGGTAGTATGATTTTTTGGAGTGAGGGTGAGGAAGGGCAATAATTTGTCAAGTTTTCACATGGGTTTAAACTGAGAGGCCTTAGGTATGTACAATCTTTAGATTGGCTGACTTGCAGTACTCTGCCTTTCCTTATAAATTGACCAGAGGAATACCAGATTCATGCTTTCATGGTTTATATAGACTGTATTTTGTGGTTCTGATGATGATTTGTTCTTCCAATTAGGATTTATTGTCTCCTTTATTCATGCTGCAGGCACAATAGCATTTGAATGTGATTGAAATTTCCTTATCAACTTTGCAGGTCTTCATACCTTTGAGAGAGCTTGTTGCCATTATGGCGCATTTCATTTCTACCTCTTGTTCTTTGAATATCTCATCCAGCTGCACAAAACCACAACATTTGTTAAGAAACCAGAATTCTGTAAGATTTTCAGCATCTTTTAGTTTGAGGACGGCCCCCTTTGCATCAGAGAAACTCATCTTGCATTGCAAAGGGCCTAGAGGATTCTCCACCATCAATGCTAAGGCTGTTTCTTTTAGCCAAGAATCCAAAACTGAGCCTGCCTCTAGTGTTCCTCCAAAGGGTGGTGAATCTGCTGACCGGAAGAAGGTAATGGTTATTGGTGGTGATGGTTATTGTGGCTGGGCTACGGCTCTCCATCTATCAAACAAAAACTATGAAGTTGCTGTTGTAGACAACCTTGTTCGCCGCCTTTTCGACCACCAGCTTGGCCTTGACTCCCTTACGCCCATTTCTTCTATCCATAACCGCATTCGACGTTGGAAATCCCTCACTGGCAAAGATATTCAACTCTACATTGGTGACATATGTGACTTTGAGTTCCTTTCTGAAACTTTTAAATCATTTGAACCTGATGCTGTTGTTCACTTTGGAGAACAACGATCTGCCCCTTACTCCATGATTGATCGGTCAAGAGCTGTTTTTACCCAACATAATAATGTGATTGGGACGCTTAATGTTCTCTTCGCTATAAAGGAGTTCAGAGAGGATTGCCATCTTGTGAAGCTTGGGACCATGGGAGAATATGGGACTCCGAATATAGACATTGAAGAAGGATACATCACAATTACCCATAATGGAAGGACAGACACTCTTCCTTATCCCAAACAAGCAAGTTCATTCTATCATTTGAGTAAGGTCCATGATTCCCATAATATTGCATTTACTTGCAAAGCCTGGGGAATTAGAGCCACTGATCTGAACCAGGGAGTAGTCTATGGCGTAAGAACTGATGAGACTGCAATGCACGATGAACTATGTAACAGATTTGATTATGATGGAATATTTGGAACTGCTCTGAATCGGTTCTGTGTCCAGGCTGCCGTTGGTCATCCACTTACAGTCTATGGAAAAGGAGGCCAGGTATAATCCTTTCTAATGTTTCTCTAATGCTTTTCATTAATGGTGACTGAAACTCTTGATTAGATGCTTTTACACAAAAGTTTGTAGACGATAACTAGGTAGTTCTGGTATGTATGGTATATTTAGAATTTTAGGGTTGAAATGGAGTAGGAAATTTGGTAGAGTGGATTTTTCAGTTGTGGAAATCTCTGTAGTGTTTTAGATGACCTTTCTTTGACCTTTGTTCATTCTCATTGCTCAAATATTTGGCTAACACAAGATGCATTCTGCTTAAACCATGCAGACCAGGGGATACCTCGATATAAGGGACACTGTGCAATGTGTTGAACTGGCAATAGCCAATCCTGCACAACGAGGAGAGTTCAGGGTTTTCAATCAATTCACTGAGCAGTTTTCTGTCAATGAACTTGCTGCTCTAGTAACAAAAGCAGGAGAAAAACTTGGTATTGAGGTGAAAACTATTTCTGTGCCTAATCCCAGGGTAGAGGCAGAGGAGCATTACTATAATGCCAAACATACTAAGCTCGTCGAGTTGGGTCTGAAGCCGCACCTGCTTTCTGACTCTCTTCTCGACTCACTGCTCAACTTCGCTATTCAGCATAAGGATCGTGTTGATACTAAGCAGATTATGCCAAGCGTTTCTTGGAAAAAGATTGGCGTCAAGCCAAAGACTCTTGCAGCGTAAACTAGTGTAGGTTGTAGGATATATCACCTCCTATCGAACGGGCTGTTGTTTGTTATTAGAAACTTATATCGCATTGCATGCATCAAATTATGGGTGTAAATTTTGGTAGGAAGAGTAGAACTCATGCAGTAGCTTTAGTTCCCCTGACGTTTATTTTGGAAGGGTTACCTGCGTACGGTTGGAATACAAAATATACTGAATCTCCTTGGAAATTTTTATTTGCTCTCTCAAGGCTTGAACTGGAAACTTCTGTATCATTATTACTAAACAAGAGTGTGTATTTCCCATATTCCACCGTTATATAACAATGCATTCATGATCCAGTCATTGAGTCCAACCCAAGGGACAAAATACTTGCTGCTCTGATTTCTCTTACAGAAGGCCAATAGAATGCCAGCACCAGGGAACTATATATATATATATTACTGAAAGGGGCAAAAGGAAAAGAAGAAAAATAAATCCTAAATAAACCAATTTCAGATTGATTATACCATCGTATTAGAGTCGGGAATGAACAAGGCTGTCGGCTTTTCCGCTAGCTGTTAGCCCACTCTTTACAAAGTCCAGAACGATTGACGCCAATTGATCCTGATGCGAAGTGAATTCATGATCTGCGCCTTCAAAAATGTGCAGTTTATGATTGGGAATGTGTTTGGCGAATTCCAAGGCATCACCGACTGGTACCATTTCATCAAGAGTACTATGGATCGTCAACACTCTACAAAAGAAGCCAGAACCAGGATAGTGAACATAGTGCTAGTTGCCAAGAAAAAGGAAGTCAGATCTACCAACATTACTTAAGCTCTGGTTGAGTTGATGTAAAGATCACAAAGGCTAGAAAAGTATTTTCTAAAGCAAGCCGATACGAGGATATAAAACAACTTGATTGGATATCTACCACTAGCAGAGCAGAAAGTGCATGATAACAAACTCAAACTCAGCTAGAGTCAATGTAAATATCACATATGCTAAAAATTATTTTCTAAAGCAAGTCGATAGGATATTCAAAGATTTGATGAAATATCTACCACTAGCGGAGCAGAAAGAGTATGATAATGTGAGCAAGAATGTTGTTTACCTGCAGGTTCTGTCAATTGTTTCACATGCTGCCCGGGGGTCGGTAGTCAGGCGGTCCATCAAGCTTTCTTTAGTGACACGATACTCGATCTTCCCTATATCAGACCAAATATTACAATCAGGATGAAATGGTACTGGAATAAAGAAAGTGTAGCGTTTCCAGAATTTTGCAAAATGCTTAATTTCATTTATCTTTCAAACAAACATCACTCAAGAAGATATATTACAGTGCTAGGTACCCCTTCTGCTCTTAACGTCAATGAATCCATTCTGCTCTATCTTTTCCAGATAGCCTTTTCCCAAGCGACCTTCGATTCCCCTCTCCAGATTGAAACGGCCAGCAATATTCACAATCAAGTTCACATCATTATTCCTTGAAGCATACAAGAGAACAGCATTTCCTCCTATCAAATAGCAAGGAAAAAATGTTTCTTTCATGGAAGTATGCAGGATAAAACTATCTAAAGCATTCGTCTGAACAAATGCATAATGGTGAGGACACACAGGCACTTGATGCGGCTGGAGGAGATGGTAAAGCGAATAGAGATACGTCCAGGGATAAAAATTTAAACACCTTTACTGTGCCCAATAAGTGCAGCCACAAAACGTTTCTGTCCTTGGAAATGTTGGACCACCGAACGCAAGTCATCTGCTTCTCTCCAGTAATTACCATACTGAAATGATCCTTCACTTTCCCTAGACAACAAGAACAAGAAGTAATTGACTGCGAAGAGGTTGCCATAAGATCAAGTGTAAAGCTAAAACGGAGTAAGATAAAACAACTTTGTGAGCTAAAATGGAAATTCTTTTCTCCTTCAGATAATTCTTTTCTTTTATCATATAGAAAAGCAATGTTTTTATCATCCAACAGATACCAAAAAAGATTGGAAACCACAAAAAACTTTTCTTTTTTTTTTTTTTTTTCCACTTTTGAGAATGAAGAAGTAAATAAAGACTGCAAGCTAGAAAGTGTTTATTTATTTGGTTAAAGCAAGAAAGTACTTCAACTTAACATTTGGCATAAACTACCTCTTGGGCTTCGTCAATCATACAGTAGCAAAATAAAATATTTTATAATAACAATGCTTCCAAGAAAAAGGGTCTTTTACTTGAAATTTTATGAAGTTCACCTTATTATGTTGTCGTTCAAATCAAATAATTTAGAACATGTACATTGCGAAGGGGTGCCGATTGAATCAAGAGCGCAAATTTTGTTACAGGTTCATAAGCTATCCATTTTTTGGACAGGAGAAAAGCAAGAAAGGGTAGATCATTCGATAGCAACTTACCCATTGCCAGCAAAATCAAAGCGGAAGGCACTAATTCCTTCTTTTTCAAAAGCAGCCGCTAAATTCACCATAGGAATGCGGTCCTGAAGTTGTAAACAAAGATCACAAATAGCAAGAAAGCTAATAAACATTTCTGTCCAACTATTCATTAGCAGGAAAAATAGCATTATATGTAAAAAGTTTGTGGTGCAAAAGGATTGACCTCAGTATTAAGTAGTTTTAACAATATTACCTCACCAAAAAGTCAGAATTACAAGATACAAACGCAAAACCCCACCACTCCTCAATGGTTTTTAAAGAGTCTCGCGATTAGCAATTTTGTCCATTCAGCCTTTACAATATGCTTTCAGATAATATCAGATACACGAAAAGAGAAATTCATTTGGTTTTGAGCAGGTATGCTGTTGACAAGCCTCCTCCAAAAGTGGGAGAGATGTAATGTGTATTGCTCCAAGTAACATTTCGACCTTTTTGGTCATAGATTTTAAACAATATGTTCATTAAGACTTAAAAACCTGTGTCTTCTGTCCAGTGCAAATAAGGTACTTCTCAATCCAAATCAAGTAAAAAAAAAAACGAAATGCAGCATAACATGCCGTGGAAAACACATAAAAATAGTGGTAGATACAGCATCAATGAAAAAACAAACCTTTGTAGATCTAAATCCATGAGAGACAATTACTAACTCCCTGGACCTCGTTTCATGCAATACGCCCACAAGCTTCTGCCCATATTTGTTGTATATTGACACTTTCTTACGCTCGTGAGTACCTGCAATTTTTATAGCAAACAGTTGAAACTGGTGATAATACTCCAACAAAGTAGCAATATTTAGGCCTGATAATAGACTCCTTCCCATCCAAGATAGAATTCTTGACTATATTACACCCCACAATCTATCTCAGAGCCTTATGATACATTCTATCCCCCAATACCATATAGTTAGCCACTACATATATGGGGAAAATTTGATTTTCTCGACTTTCATTTTCGCTATGCAACACCATTTACAACTTTGGTACATCCCAGGCAAACTGCATTTTCTAAAAAGAGAGGGAAAAAAAATAACCCTAAACCCTAAACGGGGGTTCGATGTACCATTTTCTATCATAGTTGCTAGGGCGAGTTAAACTTATAAAAATTTCTGCCAACAAAAGCCCCCAGCCCCAAAAGGAAGTTAGCCCAAAATTTCACATGATCAAACCATAAAAAAATCACAAACAAGAAATTGGGTTACTTCCAATTCTGTGAACCACTTTCTGCTTGATCAACTCAAGATCAAAATTGCTAAGAACCGTTGAATAATGAACTAATACCCGAAAAAGAAAACACCAATACACATACACACACACACATATCCGGATACAAGAGGGTTCCTCTCGTCGAGCACAAAACAGTGAATTTTACTGTGGTGTGATTTCTTTGATTGTTACTACTCTAAACATTTTGGGATAATCAGAGATAAACAGCAAGATATAATAATCAGTTTCTTACCAATTTCATGGTTGTTTCTTGCCTTTCCTGCCTGATCAAAAACCATTTGAGCTTCTGTAATTGATCGTTCAACGGTCCCAAGCTCACAAGTTCACGATTGCTCTGTCCCTTTCAATTGGCACCGTTCCCGTTCAGTCATTTGAGGAAGAAAAACGATTGTAAAGCAGCGTTTTAGGATGCACACCTCACGCTTTCAGTTTTTCTTCCAACTTTGCAATGACAGTGAACCACGCTTTCAATTTGTTACTTGCGCTTCCATTATTCTAATGTAAATTTTCTTTTATGAAAACAAATAAAAAAATTTTACTTGTTAGCTCTCCATTTTTCTTTTTGAGACATTCTTCCATTCGACTCCTTTCAACAATTACTCGATTTCGTATCAAGCCTACAAGGATCAAACCGGCATTGATGGCGCCTTGAGTAGTGCCGGAATATGATCACAGTCAGTTAATGAGTTCAGATACACTAGTTTATCTGTGAAATTTTCATCCATCATGGTAGTTCAGTTGAATGCAAATGATCAACTATGCTGCTCAGTGCCTTAAACAGTTTTACCTTTACAATCACTACCAAAGACTGATCAGGAACTCAGATGCATTGGCAGGCTGAAAGTTTATTTCATTTAAGTCAAAAGTGAGCAAGTCTAATATTATTACTAGGGTTCCTAAAATGCGAAAACAGAATGATTTATACAAAGACGAAACAGATGCATCACCCTACTGAACCTGAAAATGCGAACATACAGCTAAGTTGTCGTACATTAATCAGGCCTCTAAAAATTGAAACCTCAATATGGCTGTTGACTAAAGATGGCCTCCCCCGGCCACTTATCTTTCCACAGATTCCATTCAACATCATTTATAAATTAGGCCTTTTCTAGGGCCAACTTAGCTTCACAGCAAAGCATTTCTACAGGTGACCAGGTTTCTGAGTATAGCACTATATCCACAAACAACTCGAAGAAGATACGCATCTAACAACAAGATACATCTCCTCGCTAAGATCCAACAGGTGCAACGCCTTTAGCCTTGGCGGCTGCAGTAGCAGCTGCTGCCGCTGCTGCTGCTGCCGCTGCTGCAGATGCCGCTGGATTGGGAGTTGAACTGGACTGCGATGTGCTCTGTGAGGTAACTGTTTGCAGTTGCTGCTGTTGCTTCTGATTAGAATTCAACTGGGCTAGAAGGGTCTTTATCTGACTTCCAGACAGCGTCTCTTGCTGAAGTAATGCATTAGCCAGAGCATGGAGTTCTTTATTGTGTGTAGTAAGAATGGTTTTCGCATTGTTGTAAGCTCTTTCCAATAACTGCCTTACTTCCTCTTCTATTAGGAGCCTAGTTTCAGTGCTCATGCTCTTCCCATTGTCATCATAGTTGTGAGTAACAAGTCCAACATTTTTGCTCATTCCATATTTTGTCACCATTGCTCTGGCAAGACTGGTTGCTTGCTGCAGATCAGAAGATGCACCTGAAGTTACTTCATCCTCTCCAAAAATGAGCTCCTCTGCAACTCGCCCACCCATGCAAACATCAAGACGGGCCAACATCTGCTTACGAGAAATACTTGTCTCATCCTTTTCTGGCAGTTGGGAGACCATACCAAGGGCCATTCCACGTGGGACAATGGTTGCTTTGTGAACAGGGAGAGCACCATCAGTATGAATAGCAACAAGAGCATGGCCACCCTCATGAAAAGCTGTGAGTTTCCGTGACTCGTCTGATATAACAGCTGATTTGCGCTCACTTCCCATCATGATTTTGTCCTTGGCATACTCAAGATCGGCCAGTGTAACTGCTTTGGCACCATCCATTGCCGCCTTCAGCGCTGCCACGTTGACCAAGTTTGCAAGATCAGCTCCTGAGAATCCAGGAGTTCCTCGGGCAATGATTGTCAGATCAACATCATCACCCCTAAGAACCTAAAACAACACAATGAAAGATTAGATCTTCCAATTATTTTCATGTCCAAATATAATAGAATCTGTACATGACAATATATGTAAATTAAAAGAAAATATAGCATCAGCAATTCCATGCAGCCATCTCGGTGATAAAATATCTCCACATGGTGCACATCAGTATATAGCTTACATTTGAAATTTAACACTATCCATGGTCCCTTCCCACATAAATGAATGTCCCCTTCGTCAAGTAAAAAAGCAGTAAATGCCAATGAAAATTACCTTTGACATGTGTGATTCCAAGATTTGTCTCCTTCCTTCAACATCAGGATTTGGAACAACTATATGGCGATCAAACCGCCCTGGTCTCACCAAAGCCTTATCCAGGGACTCTGGGAAATTGGTTGCAGCAATCACAATAATCCCGTCATTCTGCTTGAAGCCATCCAATTCAACAAGCAACTGATTCAGAGTCATTTTCATGTACTGCTGGTCCTTCGGATTCCGGCTTCCTCCAATGGCATCAATCTCATCAATAAAAATTATACACGGTGAGCGCTTCTTGGCAGCGGAAAAGAGATCTCTCACTCTCCGAGCCCCCACACCAACAAACATTTCCTCGAATTCACTGCCACTACAAGAGAAAAAAGGCACACCAGCTTCTCCAGCTATAGCCCTTGCCAGCATGGTCTTTCCAGTTCCAGGGGGTCCAACAAGTAGAACACCTTTTGGAAGCTTCCCACCCAATCGAGTAAAACGCTGTAACAACATAAAAGAGAGCACGGAATGTTAGAACTTGGCCACTGATAATCTTTTAGGTTTTTTTTAAAGTTTGTACAAAGTGATCATGTTATATCCAGTTTTTAGGTGAGGTTGGAGACAAATCTTGATATTCTTTGTTTACAAGCAGAAACATCAGAGGGTTTCCTCACTGGAATTGGATGTTTTTTAACAGATCAAAAGAAAAAACAAAAATGTAGACTTAACTTTAGAATGTGTGGACAAGAATTATGCAAAATACTTGCAATAATAATATATTTAAAAGAATCTAAAATGTGATGACTTTTTTCTTTTTTAAATACAGTCGCCAAGCAATTGTCAATTATTAACAAGTACTCAAATCAAGGGTTAACGGACATAAGAAGAAACATGTTAAACAGACTGTTAATGATCATCAAGGAAGATATTCAACTACCTTAGGGTCTCGTAGATAGTGAACAATTTCTTCCAGCTCCGATTTGGCTTCATCAACTCCCTTAACATCACTAAACTTTGTACTAGATTCCATACTTGGTTGCACCTCTTCGTTCAGGCCCAGTCCTAGCATGAATAAAAAGTGTTAAAAGAGTACAAGTTCTATGCTGGTTTTAGATTTATCTGAAGGTACAAATCCAAGAAATCGTGAGTCCATGATTTGCAAATACCTTTACTGATTCCTCTATCTTCGATGAGTGCACCAACACCAGAGATTAAAAGAAACGCCAAACCCAAAGCACGAACAGTCCTCCATAACTGCTCTTTAAAATGCCCTCCCTCAGCAGCCACCATATGTATAGGGGCACTAGCAGTACCAAGGACGCCATCCTTTGTGGATTTCCCCACATTCCGAAAAGCTGAAAAAGCACCAACTGCATCTTCTTCCAAATGAGGGTTGGGAGAACTTGACATCCCTGCATACATAATTGATTATTGATAAGTACAAAGATCTGATAATCCAATATTGGAAATCAAACCTACAATTCAAAAGAAAACAAAATTTCGGCAGCATACTTGGCAAGACCTGGCTGAGTATGCTCAGCTAATTTAGAAAGCTAACATGGGAAATGGGGCAAGAAGATTATTTCATTAACCACGCCTACCTCTCTGCAATGTTTTAAGAAGTTCACTTTCATCCAGCTTATCGACCTTAACTAGTGCTTTAACATACTCTGCAAGTGCTGATGGGTTCGACTGCATCGAAGGCTGGGTTTCGAATGTCCTGATAACAGCCTCAGGTCCTTCTCGGTTAAAAAGTTCCCTCAGATACGAAGTGTCACTTAATTCATCACTCCTGCGGCCTAGACGACTAGCATAGCTTGCATAAAACCTTCTTCTGGCAGTATCATATGCGTGCACTGCACCCAAAAAGTTGCGTAAAGGTTCACAGGAAATTCATCTCCATTTTACCCCGTAGAAAAGGAAAAGCAGTGAAAAATATGTCAACGGATCCACATGTAGGTCAGAATCATGTAACTATTAGACAAGCTACCAAAACTGAACCCCTAAATTCCACTGCTTGACGTAACTTGCAAACGAAACATTGAGCTAAAAGTCAATACTTTCTTATCAAGAAAGAAATTTTTTAACTCCATGGTATTTCAAATGGAAAATAGCAACTCACAACAAGTTCAGACCAATTTGACCAAAATAAGAGCTACAAGATTCATCATGAATAGAAGATCTATCTAATTATACAAAAAAAAATAGTCTCCTCAGAAGAACTTAAGATCATGAAACGACATCACACTTTAAGCTACCAAACAACTACTAAAGGGAGGCCGTCTTATTCCAGTAAAACCAACTAAGAGGAACCCGTCAAGCGTACATAAACAAGCTCAAGACCCAAAGCAAACTGAAAATAATCTCACTACAAAACAGTAAACATTTGAAAAAACAAAACAAAAAGCACAACATAGACTGTAATGCACACCTCCGCTTCTCTGGGTGTTTGGGCCATTGAAATAATGTCGAGCACACACACTGCCCAACTGCCTCAATTGCGACTGTTGACGTTGGACCTGCGGAAGCAATCAATACATAATACAGCTGATTAGAGAAGGCGCTCGACACATTATGCAAGCACGAAACACTTAACCTCAAAAACCAAGCTTATTTACAACTACCAAAACCCATAAGAAGCATTCCTTTTCACATCCACGAACCAAATTTACATAAACCGAAAACCAACATACAGAAACAAAATCACAAAAAGTAGCAAAATTCACACATCTTTCCATATGTTTCCTAATATAACAGTCTCCTATTGGTTAAATTAATGAAAGACTCACACTTTTCTAAACCTAGCACCAATAAGCTATATTTCGATTAGGGTTTCCACATAATGAACAAGAAGAAACAAGAATCCAAGGATCCTCGCATTGCTACACGGTGATAATCATAACAGAATCAATTAGATGAAAAATATTCAAGCACCGACCTGATTGACAAGGCGGATTAAAGCCATTCCCCTGTCCTCAAAAGAGGTAGATCTTTCGCTTTCTAAAACTCTCCCCCTGCCTCAATCTTCGACTAAGAGAAAATACCCCTTTCTCGGCTATACGAAATGCACAAAGATTGGCCCTTTTTCAATTACGTCGGAGACTGAAAATCGAGGGTGGAAGCAGGCAGAGAATGGGAGCTGGAAACTGTGCGGAGTGCAACCGAAGATTTGGGGTTTTCGTTTTCCTTCTTCTTCTTCCAGCAACAATAATTATTAAATTAAATAAATTCGGTGGAAAACAAAAGGTTAAAATAAAAATAAAAATCACAAGTCAAGAAGATTTTTCCAGTTTCTTTTTGGCCTGTTTATCTTATTTTGTGTTTGAAAAGGGTTTGTGCCACGATTCTGTTTGGAAATTGATTTCGGGAATTTTGTGGTTTATTTATTTTAAGGAATGGCTAGACCGGCGACTAGGTGGGCCTCCGCGGCTCGGAGACTAGGTGGCCAACCCGAGGAAATCATAGCGTGACGTAATCTGTGAAGCTTGGGCCACTTGAACTGGATTTTGACTTTTCAAACCACAGCCCTGTTACCTTTGCTAACTCGGCCCAAGATTTTAAATATGCTCATTTCTTGAAAGTATCCTACGATCCAATGGGATGGATGTTTTTCTTGGATGAAAGATGTTTTTTTCATTCCAGTTGAATAATAGATATATAATTGCTACAATTATTAAGTTACTAAATCGCCACACAGAATTATCTTCGTTTTCATTTGAACTGTGGGAAGATTTTCATCTTGTTGCACCACACTCGGTTTTGCCTAGTATTCTTCATCTTACAAATTTTGGAGAGATTCAGTTTCAAGGAAAACAAGATGTTTTGCATCACTTCTGCTTTATTCACCTTATCTTGGCAAAACATGACATAATTTCGCACCTCCCAAATGTAGTAAAGTGCCACTGCCACCACACCTCTATTTGTGATCCCATCTTTCACGGAGCTTGATTCATATTTCGATAGTATCTCTTCCCTAATAATCTTCCAATGGAAAGAGGAGACATGTGCATCTACCAGAGCCAAGGTTTTGGAGAGTATCTATGTAGAGAATAAGCAATCAAAAAATATATGTCCAACAGTTTCCTTCTCCATCATGCATAAAGGACATCGGTTATCCATTGAAGGATCATATTTGCTAATTTTCTCCCTGGTTTTCAATTTATCAAGACAAGCCAGCCAAACAATAAACCCATGTTTAGGAGTAATGAACTTACCCCAGGATAAAATGTACTCTGGTTGCCGATGATGCATCACAGTTAATGTAAGGTATGTGCCGTGAGTGGAGAATGGTTCTCCAATAGGATGGATGTTGTGTTCGTGAAGTTCTGATTCTTGAGGTTCAAAACTGCGCACAAAAAGCATGCTCGTTGCATCGGGCCGTTAGCTCGGATATGTGTATATAAGCACTTAATCCGGATAGTTATGTTTTTTTTTATTTGTGTTTTTAGGTATTTTTTCTATTGAAAATGTAAAAAAAGTGTATAGAAAATGTAAAAAAATATATCGGGATGAGACAATTATTATTATATTAATTTAAAAAAATCATAAAAAACCAAAACAAACAGAGAGATTTTTGTCATTGTTAACACAATTCGTATTTGAATCTTTTTTTCTCACAAAGAAGCGTGGATAAATTTATTTATTTTTTAACAGATGTTTATGGTCTCAATTATCAACAACAATGATTAATCTCTTTTAATGAATTATATGAATCTTTGATGTGTGAGACAGCTGGTCAAGAAATGCTAATCCATGCTTAAACCAGGTTGGTTGACAATGGAGAAGTATATATATATATATATATATATATATATATATATATATATATATGAGGGAAGCCGAAAATGCATGTTAATTTACAAAAACATTCTTAGGTATCGAAATGATTCTACTCTATCACGCTCTAATTTCTCCTCGACAATAAAAGGGGCGTTGGTACTTGGTAACATATGATGACCAACTGGGCATGATAATCCAAACTTTGCAAGTTCATTTGCCACCACATTCTGATTCCTGTGGGCATACATGATTGTCACGGACCAGTTGAGATCAAGCATTGCCCTAATACGATGAAAAACATGACTATTTACAGACGAGGAGAACTCGTTTGTCAAAATATTAAGCGCCCCTAGGGAATCCATATCTACCTGTACATGTCTAAAACCTAGCTTACATGCTATTCTAAGTCCAAATAGTACCCCCCAGAGTTCTGCTTCAAGAATACTACAGCAGCCAAGGTTGGCAGTATAACCAAAGATCCATTCGCCATCACCATTTCTAAGGGCACCGCCAGCAGCAGCTTTTCTAGAGTTAGCTACTGCTCCATCTGTATTGATTTTGACGTTGTTCCCCGATGGCGGCTTCCAACTCTCCTGTATAGAGCTGGCCCTGGTTCTGTCGATCTTTCGGGCAAAAATAAGATTCGATCGACTAATTTCATGAAGGAGGGCTACCGTCGATATTTTGAGGGCTCTTTGCGAAGTGATGATGTTGTTGAAGACTTCATCGTTTCTGGATTTCCAGAGCCTCCAGCATCCCACCCAAACCAAATGACCACTTGTGTGGGGCCTGCAAAACCGTATTACTTAGATTAGATGTAAACCAAAATCTCCAATCATTTACATACCAGAAATCGGCTCCCAAGGAAGGGTTGATGCTCCGACAAAGTTCTTTGCATCTATAACAATCACGAAACACATGGAGTAAATCCTCCTCCCTTCCACAAAATAGGCAGCTGCTATCGTCAGTGATATGCCTTCTCTTGGGTTCCGAATTAGTCATGAGCACTCCCCTTAAGCATAACCACAAGAAGGTTTTGATTCTTTCCGGCCCTTTCCAAGACCACACCAGCTCCCAGGCTCTGTCTTCATCATTCCAGGAACCTTCCATGAGTAAGTTATAAGCCGATGTGGTGGTGAATTTTCCTGATTGCGTTAATCTCCAAATCGGTCTGTCGCACCTCTCGCTGCTGGCAGGTGGAGGGATTGCCCTAATTTTGTCAATAATATGACTTGGCAGGAGACGCGACAATTCCTCCCAGTCCCATTCGCCACCATCTTTGGTGTAATCAAACGCTCTCTTGTGTAGGTCATCCCCAGAAACAGCAGAAGTGGCATATTGAAGGAGTGAAGAGCCTGAGTTATTAGCCAACAATGGACAAGTTGTTATGTTGAGTTTAAGGTTCACTCTTTAGTCTGAATCCAATTTGGTAGACTATAATTTAACAAACTCTTAAACACAAAACCCAATGGAAAAGAAAATATTATCCAAACAACTTTCTGATTTACATTTTAAATTCCAACTTGAAACACTTTTTATTAGTGTAATGACCATTTTAGAACTACAAATAGTTCAGTGACAAATTTGGCAGGATTCCATTGTTGAGTGATTTTTTTAGAAAAGTTCTTTTTTGCAGTGACTATAATTGACAGTATTTAATTATTTAGTGATGACTTGTACTTGATATTTCACAATGTAGTTCAAAATACTTTTTCAAAACCAACATCCAAACAACATTTTTATTTTCCATTTAGTTTTCAATTTGAAACACTTTGCACTTAAAAGTGGAAACACTTTTTATTAGTGTAATGACCATTTTAGAATTACAAATAGTTCAGTGACAAATTTAACAAGATTCCGTTATTGAGTGATTGTTTTTGGAAAAGTTCTTTTTTGCAGTGACTATAATTGACAGTATTTAATTGTTTAGTGATGATTTGTACTTGATATTTCACAATGTAGTTCAAAATATTTTTTTTCAAAACCAACATTCGAACAACATTTTTATTTCCATTTAGTTTTCAATTTGAAACACATTCCACTTTTAAGTGGCAAAATAAAATGTAAGTTGACGTCCAAACAAGCATTTAGTTTTTGTGCTGTGAGACCAGGTTTCTGTTGATCCAGGCCCAAGTTGAATTGCAGCTATTTCTTTCTGTTTTTCCCTGAATACTCAAGGTTAAAAAAGTCATGATTTAAGGTTAAAAAACGATGCACATAAATTTACAAATGTAGTCAACAATATTTTGCTTCTTTGAAAAATAAAATTAATATTTGCAAATAATCACGACTTTATTAGTCCTTAAAAATTATTTTGTTGTTTGGATTTTTACTTTATGTACAATTTATATGAAAAATAAAAATTTAAATTAAACAATTATTTTGGGATAGAGAAAGTACAAAACTAGAAGTTTAAGTCAAATGACCTTAGTTGTTTAGTTCACTGCTTCCTATATCTATCTCACATTAGAGATTTTCGAATTTGCACCTAAAGCACAAAGTAAAAACTGTTTTTCACTATTTCTAGTTTTATAACACCTCCCCCAAAAAAAAAAGAATATTATTAATATAGTAATTTAGCATTAGTTATTTTTTCCCCTTACAAAATAGCACTTTGCTGAGGTTTAAACCAAAACATATATGTTGTCACAACTTGCATCATCCATCCAATCTAATATTAGTGTAAAGGCGATTTTTGCATTCTCATCTCAAAACCAATCAGTAATAATTAGAGGGGCTAAAAAACTTACATATTGTGAGTTGGGGGAGGGGTGGAAATCAATTTTCCCTTTAATCAATATGATATCAACAACTGGGAGTTGAAGGAGAGGTGGAAATCAATTTCAGGTAGTTCTTTCTTTCTTTCTTTCTTTCTTTTTTTTTTTCCCCTCCATCTTCTTACATCAATAATATGATTCTAAGGTGATGTTGTTAGATGTCATCGTCATGGTGAGGATGAATGATGGGAGGGAGAACTTTAAAGAGAACCCGTGGGGGGAGGAGTAAGAAGAAGAAGGTGGTGTATGTGTTGGAACAGAATCTCTTTTTTGTTTTTTAGACAAAAAGACACATTTTCTAGTTTCTAAAACGTGAAATGTGCATACTCTCACACTACAAAATCTCTCACACTCTCTCTGTCTGTCCGTAAAAAAATGTAGTATTTCATCATCTCAAGAGAGAATATTTCCTGTTAGCAAGCAGCTAAAACACACACAAAACAAAAAAAAAAAAAAAAAGCCCCAAGCAAAAAAAAATATTTTTACCACATCATCTTTTCCTTTTTTAAGGTAAGGTGGGATAAAAAAGTACTTGCAAAACCCAAAGTTCTAGTATAAGGAAGCTACGTTGTTCAGCATTTAGTGATTTTGATGAAATTCCAACATCTTTGCAGCTCTATTCTCGAGGATTCGTGTCTTATTGTAAGCTGAATTCACCAGATTTTGTATATATGTGTAGCTAGCTATAGTGCTACCCTCAAAGTAAAACGTGAGCAATAATATCAATGTAAGTACAGTATATATATATATATATATGTAAATAGTGAATGAATAGTTTGATTATGATATAATTGGAGAGGGAATATGTATCGTTGAGTTCTCAAGATCAGAGCCGACTGTAAGGCATCAATGGTGAGATTTCAGGTAGGAGGGCTTGAGTGTCTTTCTATTATGATCTGACCTAACTAATTAAAATCGCATATTAGTTGCGATCACATTATAGTATCACATTGTTGCAATGTAACTATTTTGAATTTGTCTCTTTTCTAGGGGCGTATAATCGAATGATCAATACATTTTTGAATGAATGTGGGTTTAAATGATTAATTAATAATTTTAAGTCATTTTGATGATAAAATATTAAGAGGGTGGGAGAGTCGAGTGGGATAATTAGAGGATTAGGATGAGAATGGTTATTACAGGGAGGTCGAATGTTCGATTCTCATTGGAATTATTTATTTTTATTTTTTTTGATAAAAAAATATTAAGAAAACAATACCATTTTTTATGATAAGACACAATAAAAGGTAGTATAAGACACAAAAACAACCAGTTTGGCAAGACAAACATAGGCCTTTTGAAGGTCGACCTAACACAATTAAATCCATCCATATATTTAGCTAGTACTAGTTAAAAGAATTACATTTTGTTTGTAGAAAATTCTGATGATCTTTGTGTTAAGTTACGATTTATCTTGAACCTGAAACTTTCTTTTTTTTTAAAAAAAATGTCGACATCCCCAAGGACAAGTTGCTACAAAAAAAGAGCTACCCAGTTACATAGTCCGCCATTGAGCTGGTGCTGGTCTACAAATAAAAATACAAAAATGCTGCAATTCAACAATCCAATCACTGCATGAAATAATATACGAGTACCTTGACTCAAGCCAACATTCACACTAAAGTCCTCATTCCGTTCTCATATTATTGTCACAACACTTTAGTTATATCCATTACCATCAAATCACCGTAATTTTTATTTTTTATTTTTGGTATTAAGCACTGTATTTTCAGTTCAGTGGTCACGTGCGACGCCTAAAAACATTGTTGCGAGTGAGAGAAGTCACAGGTTAGAAACTCCCATATCCACAAACTGAGTAATGCTTGAAACAATTTACATACTCCCCCGTCTTATAATTATTATTTAGTTTGAGTTTTCATTTTTAGTTCAACTTATATTAAAAGTGAAATTTCAAATTGGACAATAATTTTGAGACAGAGGAGTATATATTAATAAAAATTAAAGCCATTATTCATGTTCCATTTTTTTAAAAAAAAATCTCCTCTCACTCTCCAAATTTACATTTGATCCTCTGTAATAAAAACAAGAAAATGAATTCTTCAAATGACACAACAGTAATCCCCGCCAAAAAAATGTTATGCTATAATATGATACATTTTCCAATAATGGTACAAATTATTTATCATGATACTTGGGACATCTTGAATCTGGTTGAAAGATGAGGCTGTAGTAGTAGTACAAATATATAAGAGAGCAAAAAGATTTGACAACAACGGGAGGAATATATGTATTAAAGACAGCCAAAATAATGTTGTATGTTATCTTTATCAAATTAATTAACTCTGCCATGGAGGTGGATTCTGATGATCAAAAGATGAACCCGCCATTTGATGATGAAGATCATCCATACTAATGAACTCCCTTTGCGGAAACACTTTTAAACTCAAAAAATCCCTCGTCAACCCATCATTATTCCCATTGTTACCACCACCACCACCGGCACCGCCGACGCTGCCGCCTCCACCGTCGCCATTATGATCATCTCTTTGCCTTTTATTATTATTATTACTACTTCCATGATCAGTCTGGAAGCTAATGTCTCTCTTGGAATTCACCATCCCGCCGCCATCAAATTCCTGATTATCTCCAAAGGGACTTTGTGACATTATTCCTTCAATAAATCCTCCACCATTATGGTTTCCTGATGAGGTAAAAGAACTCATCAATCCCATGAAAGCTCCTCCGCCTCCATGCTGATGATGATGCTGATGATGATTATCAGTTTGACCAAGAGATTTATTATTCTCAAATGAAGCCAACCCAAGCTGATTATTGTGGAAGAACCCACGATTATTATCTCCTAAATCTTCAAGTACTGATGAGGACAAGTTCAGGCTAGAACCAGCTGAACTAAACAACCCAATATTCATATCAGAAGCTGGTTTGTTGCTCATTGTGACCCCAATCTGAGCTGCTTTCTGAAGCAATGCTGTGGCCGACATATTCGCATATGCATGAGAATTAGGGTTAGGGTTGGCGGCCGGCTCAGCGACGGCGGCCGGCAAGTTGGCAAGCCAAGCTGGCATTTCAGGAGGTACTGGAGGCCTGAAGTTGAAACCATGTTGTTGTTGTTGTATATCTAATTGCTCTCTTTTGAGTGAGAAAACTCCAGCAGTATTAGTACTGTTGTGGTGGTGATGAAGAAGTGGATTAATAGGATTAAGGTTGTTAAGTTGGATGGTTTGTTGTTGTTGTTGATGTAAGGGAAGAATATTGAGTGGGTTGGAAGATGTCATTGACTTGGCACTTTCTTCTGCTAAAGCATCACAGAAAGCTCTGTGAGTGATGAAACTGTCCCTCCTGTGAACCATTTGAAACCAAAGAAAAAACAAAACAAACACAAAACAACAAATATAAGAACACAAAAAACACCATGTAGAAAGATTAAATAGTATAGTAACCCCTCCTCCTCTCTCTTTGTTTGTCTCTTGACTTTTTTTTTTCTCCCCCTTAAATTTCATCCACTTTTTACTTTCTATGGGAAGCAGAAGAGATGGTACTTGAATTTTACAAGTTTAGTTTTCTTTGTTTCTTGCTTTTGCAGTGAAAGAATAATACTAAGAAGTATGACAAATATACACACACACACACACACACACACACAAACAAAAGTTTGAAAAACAAGACAAAGGACACATTGACATGGTCTTTACACATTTCAACTTATAATGTGAATGGGATATTAAAATTTGATGAATTTGATCCTAATTAATCAATTAACACACATAAAATAAAAGTAAGAGTAGAAAAATTAAGGGTAACATGTATACCTTGAAAAGAGGGTTCCACAATCACATCTATACTCTCTGGTACCACAAATCTTGGAATGAGCTTTCCAATCTGATTGAACAGCATAGCGTTTAGAGCACTTTTCACATTTCCATTTCTTCTCACCATGCTTCCTGGAAAAGTGCTTCTTAATCCCAGTGAGGTCCCCAAGAGCTCTAGAGGGATCATGGTGGACACATGTTGTTTCTGGGCAAACATACACTTTCTTCCTCACCACCTCTTGCTTGTTCCTTTGCTTTAACTTCCATGGCAAATTGTGACCCCTCCTGTGTAATTGAAGGTTCTGATCCCTCTGAAACCCTTTGTTACAGATCTCACACACAAACCTGTTTGTTGCCAACAGGGATCTTGGAGATAATGCTATCACTTCTGCTTCTGGGTCTAAAAATACCAATCAAATTAAATCACACATTAGTTGATTATGTTTATCTCCTCATCATAACCAAAAAAGAGAATCTGTATCTTCATCATAAGTACTGACCCTTTCGTCTCATAATAATAGTCGTGTTTCTGTAACTAATTTGATAATAAAAACACGACGATTAGATTGGAAAGGGGTTTCAAGAGATTAAATTGTTAGAGAAATTAATTAAAGCTAGCTAGCTAAGTTGTAAATCAAAGAATTTTAGCTAGCTGGCTGATTAATTAATTGTTAAAATCCATCTCAATTGAAATCAAAGAGATACATTAAATAAACCTGGATTGCCTGGAAGATTTCTCTTCTTCTTTGCAGCCGGTTGAGTTTGAGTAGTAGCACCGAGATCAATCCTGTTGCTTCCAGAACAATTGCTGGCTTCATTAGATGCAGATGTCAAATTTGACATGTCATCATCTACCAGCTGAATACCAGCTGCCTTATTCATCATCATCATCCAAAAAATTGATCAACCTCAAAGATCTTGCAATGAAGAAATTAAGTAATTGAAAGATTTTGATTAATATATGATATAAAATTCTCAGCTAGGATAATTCATTCACTCATGAACCACTGAGATGATGATGATGATCAACTTTTTCAGAAATAAATTTGATGAAAGTTGATGAAAACAGTTCAGCTATCTAATTATTCATGAAGACTAAATAAATTCTTGAGCTCCTCTTCACAAAGGCAACAACAACATAGAAAGTGGGCAGCTTTTTTTTCATGGCTGCTTTCAGTTTCCAGCTGCTTTCTCATCTCCTTGAAAACCCTAAGCTATTAATGGCAAAAAGAAAAGATGCAAACTTTTTTCTTGTTAAGAGTTGAAATCAGAAAGCAAGAAAGACTACAAAAGATGAAAGTTGGTCAGTGAATCTTTGCAGTGTCACACAACCTCTCTTCTTATTTGGGCAACCAACAAAATATAAAAAAAAAAAAAGAATAGGAAAAAAGAAAAGATGGCTGATAGCTGTTAACACTTAGCACCCCATGAAGCTGCAGTAGAAGCCACACAGATGAAAACAAAAGAAAGCCAGACCCTCTTCCTACAGTACTGTGTGTGTGTGTGAGAGAGAGTTTTATAAGAGAGAGAAGAAGAGAAGATAGATGTGGATGAGATTATGAGAAGATGAAGAGAAAAGGGTATCTCTCAAATTAATTCTTCCCTTCCATCATCAAAGATTTAACCAAAAGAAAAAAAAAAAATTCAGGGTTAATAATCTGACGTTGGACTTTGTCTTTTTGTTTGTTCACTTCTCCAATTTGCACGACTCAAGAACCTCACCCTTTATTGTTCTTACTTGTTCATCAAAAAAGATTTAAATAGTATATAGTAAAAAGGAAAATTGTATGTATTGTCATTTTGTTATGCAACAAAGGTTATATAAGTACGTCTAGTGAACATTGATACTAAACAATTGAGTACTTTACCACTTAACATCTTTAAAGCAGACAACAGATGATGCGAAAAGCGGAATGGGGAAGAAAAATGAGAGTAATTTGATTGACAAGACATAGTAATTCACCAATATTCCCCAATCTACATATATTATTGGTCCCTCATCTTGGAGAAAAAGAACGTAAATTCAAAATTACTTTGATTGATTGTTTCATTTACGAATTAGGGTGCTTAACTCGCACTCCCAATTGCCAATTATATTCACATTGAAGAAGTTTTGTATTACGATTTCAACAATGGTTCCAATCAAGTAGTATATATAATAAGGTCACTAGCTAGGTAGGCCAAAATTTAAGTCTTCGGTCTGAATCATCTACATTCTGGTTCGGAATCGAAGCAAACAATTCCCTTTCCAATTATTTTCATTAGAAGCAAATTGGAGATTGAGATATCAAAATGACTAACCCTTTTGATCAGTTGCATCATCCTTAAATTTCTTCATTATTTACTACAAACTTCAAAACACAATATGAATTATTTTTCAAAACAGAGACTATTATAAATCAAATAAGTAGATATAGAAAGAGTAAATTGTTGATGATGGGAAATACTAGAGGATAAAAAGAATATAGTAATGATAATGAACATATTTAATTAAGTCATATACTATGTCAGAAAAATATCATGAAGGGAAAAATAATTAGTGTGGAGACGGAGGCATAGGAGTTAGTAGCTAGAAAGAATGCAAAAGTAAGGAAGAGATAGACAAAGGTCAAATGTATAAAAGAGTACTAAATCATCATGTCTACACTAATAGACTCCCCCCATCAACCTATATACATATCTATTCACATGATTGGTTTGGTGATTATATTCCAACAATCATGCATGCTCATAATACAAAAGTTGTCTGAATCATTCATTGCCCTCTTTGTGTGACTCTTTTTTTTTTTTTTGTTTCGAATTGATATATCCTTCCATTTTCAAAACAAATATTAGTTTTTTCATGATTGAGATAAAGAGGAATTAATTTACTATCAAGTGAATGAAGCATTTTTATTAAAAATCATATCTCCAAATGTATTAGGAGATATTCACTTTTGATATTTTAATCTTTATCGATGCAACATTACTTTCTCCATCATATATATGAACAATCGTAGATGATTATTATTATGGGATGTAGGAAGTAATACTTCAGAGCAATTGGGAATTTTTCAATAAATCACACAAACGAATAACAATTATAAAAAAGAGGGAATAATGTACAATCAAATATGATTACAATATGTTGAATTCTGACTAGTTCACGGTTTCTGAAATTTTTGAAAGGTGGAAAAGGGAAATGAGGTGTTTTGGTCCCCATTGTTGCCATGCATAGAAGAAGAATCATCATCACTTGTTACTGTATGATCTTAGTCAATACAAACGGATGCTTTGCGTATTTTCATACATACAATTTTTTATTTTTTTAATTTTACTATGGTAAGTAGACGGAGTTGGGAGAATTAAAAGATAAGAACCATGCATATGTTCATACACTAATATTTTCAATATTTTGTTTACATGGATTTTCGTGGAGAATTGATTGATGAAGACTAGTAGTCATTATATATTTATGCCACCGTTGCAACTTAATTCTAAACTGGAATTTAAACCGTTATTGCAGGTTTCATTTTTCTTTTTGTTTTTGAGACAATTCTAAGTAATCATACAATTTTTGTTTTACTCAAACTAATAGTGATCACATTTGAATATCTTTGAAACCTTAGAATTGTACAATTAATTATGTTCATCTCTCCCTATAGGCCGAGAGATGATTTTTGAGTTGATAGTCACAGTGGTACTACTTAATCACTACTTCTGGTTTTACAGCATGAAACTGACCGAGCCCTTTGTTTCTTCGCCATCTAAATTATATTCCTCCGTTCCATTTTTATAGTCTTGTTTACTAAAATGAGATGAAGAGAATATAATTAGTTGTGCTATTATTTCAATTTTATGTAGTCATGCAAATCAATGTAAAGCTTCATCTTAGCTTCTCTTTTTTGGTTTTTTATTGTTAAAGGTTTAACGTATTAAATTTGCGTTTCTACAAAGTAAGTTTGTTTATTTATTATTCATTTTTTTTAATTTTTTTTTGATAAAATATAAATTCCATTAATCAACCAAAACTCTGTTCACTGTACATTTGATCCTATCTATTACAATGAATCTGAAATTGAGCTGTAATACCCGATATTTCAAGAAACCATATGCCATCACCACTACCTTTCCTACAATGAAACTGAACATGCCTAATCACATCCTGTTTTATCAAAGCTATTCGTTCCTGTACTGTCCTAGCCTTATTGTTGAATTTTCTATCATTTCTCTCTCTATATATATGGTACACACTTGCAACAATACATGCATGCATCACTCTCTGTCTAATCGCCTGATATCTCCATTTCCTCAGCAACTGAGCTGCACTTTTCCTCAACATGCGAATACCTTGCTGCATCCTCAACCAAAACATCACCCCTTCAAGTACTGCAGCTTCATATTTGCACTCAAAGAACAAATGATCCACCTGTTCATCTTCCTGTTTACACACATCACATTTACTATCATCAATCACCATCAATCTGGCGAGTCTATCATTGATCTGCAATTGATTTTTCCAGGCCAACCATGATATGAAGCTATGCCAAGGGATACAATATACATTCCATATGATTTTGGACTCTATTCTTCTTTGTTTTGCACCCCTAAACCAGAGATAGCCATTCTGTGTTGTATACACTTGTTTCTGATTCTGCATCCACTTCCCATTCTGACAGCCTTCCCTCAACTTCATTTTAATTCAACTGCATTCTTGGCCAGGCAAGTATTCCCAGAAATTATTCTTTTTCACATAATATGTATGAACCCATTTAACCCTTAAGCTTTCTTTCTTCCCTGCAACATCCCAAATTTGCTTCCACAACAAAGCTTGATTCCAAGCCCTAGGTTCTTGAATGTTTAACTCCCCTTCCATTTTCTTACAGCACATACTCCCATGCCACTAAAGGCATGCGATTCCCTGACTCATTCTTTCCCCACAAAAAATCACGACACTTTTTAACTATTTCCTTAATTACACTTTGAGGTATAATAAAGATAGCAGCCCAGTAACAATGCAGGTTTAACAAAACGAAGTTAATCAGAACTACTTTACTTGCATATGAAAGATTCTTGGAAGACCAAGAATGCAGCTTCGCAGTGATTTTTTCCACCATTCAATTACAATCTGTCTTTGTCCAGGCCACCGGGGAGATTGGTACTCCAAGATACTTCATTGGGAACCTTCCCTCTTCAAAACCCATAATGCTCAGACATTCGGCTTCATTTTCAACTTTGCAGCCTCCAAAATACATCCTGTACTTTTTTAGGTTAACTTCTAAACTAGTAGTACCCGCAAAATTCTCCAATATCTACTTTATCTTCCTAACTGTCTTCAATTCAGCACCACACAAAATTATGAGATCGTCAACAAAGCTCAAATTAGTAATTCTGTGCTTGTCACAATACTGATGAAAACAGAAATCAGACTAACTGGCTTCTACTTTGAACATTCTATTCAAATACTCCATCACCAACACGAATAACAGTGGAGATATCGGGTCTCCCTGCCTTAATCCCCTCTCTCCTTTAAAGAAACCAACAATATTCCCATTTAAACTGAGGGAATAGCTACAGGGTGATACATAGGCCATAATCCACTTTATAAATCTCTCAGGGAAACTATAGCACCACAACATTTCTTCTATAAACTTCCAATGAATCGTGTCGTACACCTTCTTTAAATCCACCTTCATTAAACAGCTTGGGCTTGCATTCTTTCTCCTATACATTCTTAGTAATTCCTGTGTTAGCAACACATTATGGAGGATTTTAAGGTGCTTAACGAAAGCTCCCTGGTTCAGGTCCAGTAGGTCAGGCAGAACTTGACTTAATCTATTACTAAGCATTTTAGAGATGCACTTATACAAAGTATTACAACATGATATGGGCCTGTACTCGGTTGCATCCCTTGACATGTCATTTTTCGGTATTAGAGCTATTATAGTAGCATTCATTTGCTTTAGTAATTAACCAGAATTAAAAAAAACTCTAATACCGCTTCACTAATTTCCTCCCACACTATATTCCATACACTCTTATAAAAGCTACTTGTGTACCCATCAGGCCCAGAACTCTTATTCCCATCTATACTAAACATAGCCTCTTTAACCCCAGCGTTTGTAAAGTCTTTAATCAGGAGAATCTGCTGGTATACAGACAGTTTGATCTCTGAATTAAAGACATTTACATTAGCTGAGATTCTCTCCTTGCCTTTCCCCAACAAATTTACATAGTAATCTAGAAAGTGTTGCTCAACTCTATCCCAATCCTCTTCCAACAGTCCATTACAATCAATAAAAGATCTAATTCTTCTACGAGCATGCTTCTGCTTAATACTAGAATGAAAGTACTTACTGTTGTAGTCCCCTTCTTGATTCCATCTTTCTTTCAGCTTATGGTTCCACATGCTTATGACAGCTTTGCTCTTCTCTATATATGCTGTTGTCAACTCCTTTTCCATTTGTTGATAACTGCTATTGTTTGGATCCTTCACTATTTCCTCCTGTACTTTATCCAGTTGTAATTTTATTTCCTGCACCTGTTACTCAATCTTTGCAAAGAACTTCTGATTCAATTCTTTCAAACCTTTCTATAGCTTCTTCTGTTTAGTTACTACTTTGAACTGCTTGCTGCCTTCTACTATCATACTCTATTCTTTTTGAACCACCTCTCTATATTTATGGTGAGAAGTCCACATTTTGAAAAACTTAAAGGCTCTCTTTCCATTTGATTCTGTTACCCCCAACTTGACTACAAATGGCGAATGATCTGATATCCCCAGATTTAGAGTATTCGTATAGGCTTCTGGGAACTTGTCCAACCATTCTCCATCTACTAGAGTTCGATCAATTCTAGTCATTAATTACTCGATTAGGCCCTGCTTGCTTATTACTCCATGTATATTTGCTTCCTTGAGTCACCATCCCC